TCAGGTGCCAAGGTAAGTGATATCGCACAGCAGCTTCCCAGCCACCACACTAGGCATTGAAGCATTCATAATGTGATTATCCACATAGACTGTAACAATATCAAAGATGTTTGGCTGGCAGATTTTAAGTCACAACATATTTTACAAATGACTATCTGAAACTAGTAATGAGTACTTCACTATCCCTGTAATCACTAGAAACCGATCTAGAATCAGCCACTCAGCCATGGGTATAAAGCTAACCCAGCTAATCTTATCAGCATCAAGTCATCTCTGTCACCCCTTTGCCTCCAAACTGTCTAGCAGGCCTCAAAACCTATGATTGCTACAAAATTATTAATAGATCCTAAACACAGAAAAGGCATAGGCATGATTAATTCATTTAAAGATTCTTCTTCAGTATGATATACTGGATCATCTGAAAATTTTGACTTTAGAATCTGACCAAGATACTGTGAAACTGATTAAATCCTGGTTAAACAATCTGTGACTAATTTCGAAGTAGCCTATACAGAGTTGACAGGAAAGCAAGTGGTGGCAAGGGGTGGCAGATTTCCATCAGATCTACTATCCAAGTAAAAACACTATCCAAATTTGTCACTATCCAAAGACAAATGTTTTGAAGTTTTAGCCACAGAACGTTTTGTGGTAGCTAGGATCTACAGGCCTCCATGCAATCCCTCTCATGCTGTCGATAAAAAAGCTAAATTTTTATCTCTGTACATTGACCCAGAAATGCTGATCCTAGGTGATTTTAATCTGAACTGGTCAAATAATACATCCAAAGTGTATGGGAATTGTGTGGGAATCTCTCTCTCTCTCTCTCTCTCTCTCTCTCTCTCAATTACAGATCCAACACAAACAAACTTACATGACCCAGCCAAGTCAACCCTATTAGATTTAATGGTATCCAACCGATCATTTTAATGACCGGGCCTTCTTACATGATCTGGTGCTCAGTGACATCCCAGATATCAACCAAGTGTTAGACTATTTTAGCAAAACTTTCTTGGTGGTGGTAAAGAAGCATGCCCCTCGTAAAAATATTAGAATTCGAGATAGATCGAACCCTTGGTTCAACACTTGAATATCATCCTTGCTTAGTGAAAGAAATAAGGAATGGGCCCTCGCAAAAATAGGGACAGAGATCAATGGCTTAGATTAGGACAGCTAAGAAATGAATGCACTTTCTACATCAGAAAATTACTTTGTTATTTACAAATTCAGCTCTTTCTATACACTCCTTCTATATCTGATCAGAAGGAACTCTGCCAAGCATTTAATACTCACTTTGCAGCTGCTGGACATTTATTTAATAATATTAACACATAAGAACTTCAATGTAATAGATACAGCCCCTGCCCCCTGTCTATTTACAATTCACTTTTTCTCTCCTTGCATAGGAGCTTAATAATGATATTAATATCACAAATAATAATAATTCTTGTATGCGTGCATGTGCGAGTTTGTTCTGTTGCAAGTACGCAATATGGCTGCCACTTTACATCTGTTTTTCGTTTGTTTTGTTTTGTTTGTGTGTATGCTTTGATGTTTCCCTGCTGTCTGAGGAGTATGCCATCATTCCACTGAGATAGCAGCTGAGAGTGATTTTCCACCCATGGCTCAGAGGCTTCTGGAGCTGTCTGTTAGAGCAACACTACATCACAGCTATGATGCAGCCTGGACCGGCCGCTCGAGTGACGCTGTACTGTGGCTACGAGGCTGCCCAGACCGGGGACTTGATTGACGCTACACTGCAGATACTGCATATAGCTGCTTGGATGATGCTGCACTGCTGCTGTGGGACTGCCCGGACTGGTGGTGTCTGGCTACAGTAAAATGCTCCCCCTTCGTGACTAAAGACATTTTTGGCCTTCGAGGCGTCCTAGGCTGGCTGCCTGTGTGACGCACCGTAGTTGTGGAGTGAGACATTCCCCTGCGGCTAAGGACTCTTTTCGGGCTAGCTAAGTGACTCTATACTGTGGTCATTGTAATCCACCCTCGCTAGCTGTTGGAAATGTAGAGTTGTGTGTGTGTGCGTAGGTGTGTGTGTGTGTGTGAGTGTGTGTTCTGTGTTGTTTTATTTATTGTTGAATATGTATTTTGTTATTTTCTGATCTTTTTGTAAAGCATCCTTGGGTCTGAGAAGGGCGCTATATAAATTGAACTTATTATTTTAATAAATACAGTCCCTGTCCCCGGTCTATTTACAATTCACTTTTTCTCTTCTCACATAGCAGCTAAAGTCCTCAACACCATCAACACTAAAAAATGCACAGGAGAACATAGTTTGGATCCCTTTTTTTCCTGAAGCTTGCAACCCTGATCATTTCAGAACATACTACATACATTTTTAGTCCATTTCATGCAGCAGAATTCCCAGTATCTGGAAAAAAGCACATGTAATTCCAGGCCACAAAGGAGGAGATGTCTCAGATCTTAATAAATTCAGACCCATCTGAAAATTGTCATGTTTAACCAAAATCTTACTGAATACTTACTGAATGGCTTAAGAATTTCACCTTCACCATGTAAATTCTATTTTGTCTGACTACAAATGTAGTTTTAGAGAAAAAGCCAAGTCAAGTCGAAAATAAGGTGCAGAGATATTTAACAAGCCATGACATGTAGGTATATGCAGTCAGATTATAACATACATTAGCACAGCAGTTGGTAGAAATATACAGTACTTGAGAAGAACACAGTACTAGCAGCAACGTTCCAGATCCAGTGAGAGAGGTCTGTGTGTGTGTGTGTGTGTGTGAGTAAAAGTGTAAAGTATGTGTGTGAGGGGGTTTTCAGTTCAGTCCTTGTGAGTTTAAAAATCTGATCGCTTGCGGAATAAAGCTGTTGCAGAGTCTGGGAGTGATGCTCTGGTACCTTCTGCCACACGGGAGCAGTTGAATAACTCTGTGCGAGGAATAGACGGGGACGTAAATGTCCATGATGGAGGGGAGAGAAACCCCGATGATCTTCTCAGCCGTCCTCACTATTGCTGTAGGGTCTTGCGGTCAGAGGCATTGCAATTCCCAAACCAGGAGACGATGCAGCTGCTCAAGATGCTCTCCAGAGTCCCCCTGTAGAACATGGTGAGGATGGGAGGGGGAAGATAAGCTTTCTTCAGTCTCCGCAGGAAGTAGAGGCGCTGCTGGGCTTTTCGGCCAGCAGGCTCACACAGCGCCGTGGATTGTAGCAAGCCTAGCGCGCACCTTTTCTCGCAGTTTGTCTAAAAGCAGAGATTGTGGCTGATTTCTCAGCTGTAGCAGGCTCTGGTGATGGTAAACGTTGGTGCTGATTGTAGTCATGATTTTTGAGTTTTTGTCGGGTTACAGTGACAGATAGTGAACAAAAAAGAGCAAAAAACACCGCATGGCTGTTCCCGTAGTGGCTGCTGCAGCTACACACCGTGCTGGCGGAAGTGGAAAAAAAAAGCCTAGCCTAACTCTGCTACTACACTCATCTTAGACAATCTTTTCACTGCCATTAACAGAAAGAAACATTGTGCAGCAATGTTCGATCCTCAGGCTAGGACTATTTAAGATCTACATTAATGGCATTAAGAACGCCTTTGCTGGTTGCTATTACACTTATATGCCAATGACACCATTCGGTACTGCTTGGCTGACTATATTGGTGTCACAGTGAAAAAAAAGTGCAGTATACTTTTAATGCCCTACAATCGGCCTTTTACAGTCATAAACTAGACTTAAATGTGTAGAAAACTAAAATCTCTAACATGGATTTTAACACTTTAAATCACAACTCTGAAGAGATCTAACATTGAAAGAGTGAATACAAGTACCTTGGCATACGGCTAGACGACAAATGCACTTTCAAATACCACACTAACAAGCTCATGTGTAAACTAAGGCAAAAACTTCCCATATCAAAACAAAATGTACACAAGAAAAAAGGTTGCACACAATGCACACAAGAAAAAAGGTTGCATGAATGGTGTCATCTGTTATATGCATCTGCAACTACTCTTAAATCTAAAGACCCTGTAAACCACTCTGCTTTAAATTACATTACAGGTGACCCCTACAATATCCATCACTGTATACCGTATGAAAAGGTTGGCTGGTCAACTTTGGCTGTGCGTTGGGCGACATACTGGCTCCTTTTTATCTATAAAGTGCTTGCTGGCCATATGCCATCGTACATCACAAACATGCTCAATAATGAAATTTAACACACTCGTTCCAGTGATTGGATTACCCTTCAGATGCCAAGAGTTTTTACTGAACTTGGAAAATAAGCTTTTAGTTACAGTGCACCGGAGAGCTGGGATTCATTACAGGAAACTCTAAAGCTTTGCTTGCTGGTGTCACAGTAACATTATAAACTTTTATTCTCTAACCACCTCCACTCACCCTGCAACTATTTTATTTGATTCTAGTTAGCTATTTATTTGATTTTGGTATGTTTTAGCTATTGTTTTACATTTACCATTCCTTTTATTTATTTCATTATTAACATTTACTTTCTAGTTACTGCTATTATTTTATCTATTTCATTTGTCATTTGTTTATTGTATATTAAAATTAGATTTTTCTTTTTTACTCATAAGTCTTTTTTTGCTGTGATATGTTTTTATCAAAGCATTCGAAATGTTTTTACAATCTATTTTTTTTCACTACCCCTATTTCTTCAATTCCTGCTTTCTGTATAGGATCCACTGCAATGTAAACAAAGGCTTTGCATTTTCGTTTGTTTTCCCAGAACATGCGACCTTTGACTGCTAGCTTTTTTCGACATGGGAAGTAAAATGTAAATTTACATTTGACAGATGCTCTTACTATTTAATGTTACACAGGCAAATGATTTGAGCATTATGAGACTTGCCCATGCTATACTTTCACTGGTATAGCATGGCGTGCTAGCGAAGTTCTCCAATTTTTAAATATTTCACATTATATAAGAAGTGGGTTTATATAGTATGTGGGTTTATTGGGGCTGTTTCTCCTATATATGAATGAATGAATGAATGAATAACTCACACTCGCAGCCAGATCCAGCCATTACCAGCTTAGCTTTTGGTAGAGTCAGTCTAACTCTCCTCACAACCTCTACTCGCTCCTCTGCTGTCAGATACGGGTACTCGCCATTAGAGCCTTGAACCACAAGACCTGCCAATCAAAAAAAAAAATACAATTGTGATGCACACAATATTTTCACAATCTGTTCCTTCTGCCATTAAATATAGTGTTATTATTTAATTTGTCAAAAAGTAAACAACAGATGTGTTGTGCTTCAAATGACAATAAGAACATATAAAAAAAGTATATATGCAAAAGTTTGGGCACCCCAGTCAAAGTACATGCTGTTGATTTTTGAAGTAAAATAAGTACACATCCTTGACCGAGGTACAAAGTACAAATTTGACTGATGGTGTCAAAACCCCTCTGTATGACTGTATATTATAAATGCAATGTTAGGAAATAATGAACTGAAGGTACGTATAAGAAGGTAAAAATTACAAAGAATTTTAGCAACTCAAGTAACATATCGCTGCTGTTGGAACAAAACCTAGTATCTCCATTTTTGTCTGTCAGTTTTTGGTATAATTTGACAACGCTTGTTGCCCTTTACACCGTGTGAAAATTACATGATTAATGAACCAAAAGACACAACCCAAAATTACGTAGAAAAAAAGTCTGGTTCCTTTGACTTACATTAAAAGTAAAGTAAAAGTAAATGTTTTTTGCTTCTCCTGTAAAGTTCTCATTTTGGAGATACTTTGTTCACCAGCAGCAATATTAAGAGCTCACAATTAATTAATTAATGTAAAACTGGTTCACATTTTCTCAATCCAATAATACCAATAATGGCAACATAATTTAGTTATATCTGATCATTATGCTTACCTCTAAAAGGTATACCATCATACTTCCAAAGATTTTCATCTAGGCTTTGGTAATCTACATCGCCCTCCTGTGTAAATGGAGTGGCTATGGGAGGATAAATGCCACCAATATCAAGCCTTTGACCAGCACGCCCACTAATACCTCTCCACACAGAACTAACTCCTCTTCTGCAGATATGATGAAAATTTCTGACCGATAACATGCCTCTTGTTTTTGATCTGGAAACAAAAACGAGAAAAAGCACAATTTTATTAAAATATAAGAAAAGAAAAACAAAAAACTAGGAGCAATGTGAAAAATGTGGAAAGAGCCCTGCAGAAAGCATATAATGTGACAGGACAGCATTTTATACAAGAGTGTATCAGGTCTGGGCTCAGCTGAGGGTTTCTTGTGAACAGCAGAGCCAACCAGGTCTGTTAATGGTTAAAAAACTCAGCAGGAAAAAACAATGAACACCTGCCCTTTTGCCCCTTCTTGTACAAAGTGGCCTTTTTGATTTTTTTTTTTTTAAACAAATAATTCAGGTCTTTAGCAGGCACCGTGGATATATTTTGAATGTAAAGCTCCAGATATGGCACGTTTTCTCAAGGGGGGCATCCGACAGCCTGAAAGATATTTGTTTTCTACTGATTCCCAAAGGCGAAACCAATTCTTAAATTAAATTTCACCCTTAGGACCCAATGAAAGCTTCAAAATATAAAATCTGGGTAGTTATTCAAAATAAACTTTAATTCCATGTTATGACATGATAATGTCCATTAGTTACTCAAATACTAATTCATGAAAAGGTCATTGTTACAGTGTGCATGTCATCCTGCTTTACCCTCTCAATTGACCCCACAGAATTTTGATTTTGTTTTTTGGGGCGTCCTGGTTAATTAGGGTATCCCACTCTGTTTTATTTATTTACTTTTGTTGACACCAACTTAAGCAAAGCAATTTTATGTTTTTTTTCCCCCCAAGAAAGGCTACTGTAAAGAATCTCCGAAAACACAGGGAGGACAAAATGTGCCAAAATGATCAATAAATAAATCAAAACAGAAATAAATAAATTAGCAGCAGAAAAGTAAAAATTAATTAACTGATTGCCTCACTGACCCTTTGCAGACAAGACTGGATACCTCTGCACTATTGATTAATCAAAGAGACAGCAGTGTGTACACTTGCCTTGTTTTGAAATGCTGCTAATACTTCAGTGATGGCAGAGGACGTAAGCCAAGTTTCCATGCAGTTACGCTTGATAGTGGGTGTATTAGACAATGCTTATGTTCTGTTTCAGGTAGAGGGATTAATTGCAGAATGAAGAGAGTTTAGCAGTGTCTGTGGCTGTCTGTATCAGGCAGGCAGATATTTTATGAAACTGTGCCCTAAAGACTGCATCATTATTTATCATTAACAACCAGCCATTGACTGGGTGTCCGGACAATGTTATGCAACACAAATTCTAAGCTGTAGCAGAGTTCACTTGAATAGTATTTTTCAGCTACAATACATGTTAAGACCTATATATACTAAATCAGGTGAAAGTTTAACATTTATTTTGTTTGTTTTACTCCCTGCTTGCTGTGGCCCACTAAAATCATAATTGTAAAAAAAAGTCAATAAAAAAGCAAAATAAGCACTACATTTCATATTTTGCATGGAGTAATGGACATATATATTTAAAATAAATATTTAAGAAAGTCAGCTAGGCAGCAGACAAGGTAAAGATGGCTCATAGCTATATGATTTGGCTAGCCCCCCACATATCCAACCAAAATACATATTAGACCACTAAAGCAAAGGCATGAGAGGCATATGAAATGTAAACAATTAAGACACTAAATTGACCTTCTCTCATCAAGTCAGAGAGCAGACAGAGCATGGAGCAGGAGAGATAAGAGGATCAGAACAGGGAAGAGAAAGACAGAATACAACAGGGAGGAAAAGAAAAAGGAGCATCAACAAAGCTAATGTATTAATAAAAAATTAATTAAAAGTTCATTTGTGATTCACGTCTCATCCATGGCAGGGTAATGCCCACTTTAGTATTATATCACTTACTCTTTTTAGTGTGTAACATGTTTTTTACCAGATACACAGTTATGTCCCTACAACTTATTGGCAAGCAGAGGGGTATGGTAGTGCCCCTCTTTATTCTCTGTGTGCCCCAGTCCACAAGAAGTCTAGAAACACCCCTACATTACTCTATAGTATATGTGTTGCATACCTGAACATCACAAGAAGCAAAAGTTGAAGTGTATCGTCTCATACAGAGGTAAACATAGTGGGCAGTCTATTGCCAAACGACAGCTGTTTTGAGGTCAGGTAAGAATCAGTCACTGCTGATTGTGTATCTCATCACTGTTTCCACACTGAATCTCATAAAATCCTTTGGAAATGACCAAAGATCTCAATTTTCTCATGCTAGTTATCAATGATGTACACTGATAATGGTTTGAGGCAATGGCAGATATCAACTGTTGCTGACAAAATAAGGTGAACAGCACCTACAGAAAACAAATCAAATTTCATTATCTTAAAAAATGTGTCTTAATAAACCTTTAATCCCCATTTAATTGGATAGGCCTGTGATACCTGTGGCTGCGTCCAAGTAGCCCACTCCATTATTAGATTGGCATTGTTTCCATATTAAATCTCATGAATACAGATAAGTGGAAAATAAAACTCTTCTGAAACTAACAAGGTCCAGACCTTGGTGTCCTTATAGCTAATTACAGCCACGCTTGCAAGCCAACTCAACAGTTTGTTGGAACTAAGTTATTGTTGCCCACCTCATTAGCATAGACTGGAGGAAGAAATACAGAAATAAATAAAAGAAATAAATATAATATTAAATTATTTCAGTATTCCGTTTGTGTATAGTTATTCATTTATTTATGCATTTTTTATCCACTTTTTATGTCCTTTTTCTACTTATTTATTTAGATATTATTTTTTACTTTTCTGCAACTCATTCATTTATTTATTGATTCATTCATTTGGTTTCATCCTCCATACCTAAAACTATAAAGGTCAAATGCTCAAAATAATTTGGATATGTTAAGTGAAAGTCGCATGCTTCCTTAGCCAAGCACTGCGTACTTTGAAAAAGTAGTGATTGCTGAACCAAATCAAATAGTGATTGCTGAGCCAAAATACTTTGAAAAAGTAGTGATTGCTGAATACTAAATACACTGTCCTAAATGTATTCAGCAATGTATTCTATTACATCATTAACTATAATCATCATCATCATCATTAACCGCTTAGTCTAGATAGGGTAGCGGTTGTATTCTACTACAATAAAAAAGTAACATATTCAGAATACATTTAGAATACTTTTAAATAATTATTTATAAGGCACATGGAAAAAAGGCTTACGTAATTCGCATTTTTCCTGGCTGTTATTGGTTGGCAGGTTTCGTCACCTACTTCTTCTGTTAATACGTCTCATAAAAAATCCGCATATCATTTAAATGAAGTTTCAGTACAACACGTTCACTACTGCAGAGATTATTAGTTTGATTATCCTTCAAAAGGGCTTAGTAATGCTGAGATAAATAACTGATCATCACATTTATCAGTGTACTCGAGCTCTAGCAGGAACTTACACGTCTGAAAAGAAGCCATTAACCTATAGAGTTTGTCTGATGAGTATATTTGCTATGTGCCATGCGCTGAGTTTAAAATTAGTTAATAAGTAAGCACTGAAGGTGTTTCTTTTGAAGGCTGCATGTTTTTTACTGGGTTGATAAGTATTCTAAAACTGCTCTCCTAAAAATTTAAAAAGTAACCGTAATCTTAATGCTGCCTTAACAAAATGAATCTTGTACGGAATACTTGCTTAGATTACGCTGTAACTTACATCATTCCGTCATTAGGGATCATCAGTTCAGCGACGGGTTTGTGTGACTTCTAGAGTTATTAACAAGAATATCTGATTACGACTGCAGGAGCTAGACTGGTGTAAAATGCAAACGGAGCCAACGGGTTACCTGCCTGGTTTGCTTACAGACGTCCCGGTGTTGCATCCGATTCAGTTCCCCCTGAAAATCGTGTTCCCTTTGAGAAATCAGGTCCTCGGGCACGCGCATTCAGGAAAGAAAAACCAACGCCATGCAACGCTGGAACTACGGGAAGCGAAAGGGTCCAAAAAGCTTGTTTCCACCGGCGGAGAGCAATACGAAAAGTATTTCCCAGTAAAATGCTACCAAAATCGGTCTTTTGTACGATTTATTTCTGTTCACTGTGATATAACATTATTTCTGAAATGCCAGTTCTGTGTTTGTTGTGTTTATTAACCACCGCTCGTGAAAATAAAAATATAGTCATCACGATAGCTTCATGGTTACTGTTATTAAGAACGCAACACGTTTTGTTGGAAAATATATAAAACAAACATATTACTCGACTCAGTATTTTTATGCGGTACAGACTTCACCATTCTGCAAACAGTGTAAACAATAGGACCATATGTAGACGAGTGAAAAGTCTTATCCAAATGTGTTCCCCCTACCAAATATAACTCAAGAAGTATCTGTTATAAAAACTACTATAACAAATTAATTATAATAAATAACTAAACTGCTGCAGGAGCAACAGAGATTATCTAAAGTCACTAAAAAGAAATAGAAAATGAATTCTGATCTTTTTCCACTTACTGCGAACACCTGGCTGTTTTGTGCAGTAAACTCGTTCAACTCGGTCAAGTTCCTGGCACACGAAGCACGTCCAACTTAGACAAGGTTCACTTCATGTGCGTGCGCAACTGTGAAGTCCGTCCCAAATGCACACGTTTACACTTAAACCAAGCACCCATGAGGTTCTGCAAATAAGTAGCTAATTTCAGCCTCGTACCAAGCTGTTTGGTCGCCGCTCAGAGAGGTATTCTACGAATCGAGTTAAATCTATAAACCATCCTTTTTCAGTAATTTTCGGGTAATTTTCATCTATTTTAGTTCCACGAAAGAAGGTAATCTTAAACCCTGCTCAGTTACCATGACAACGTTTCCTTTGGACAAACCTGCTTTGCACCAGGCTGAAGTTGATGCTTAGCGTAGCTTGATCAAGGCTGTGTCCGAAAACACTGTCTAATCATACAGTATTCTGAGGGAGGTAATCGTGTCCGAATCTGATGTTTGTAAAAAATGCTGCTAAAATGCTCAGGTTCTTCAGTTCGGCTGTTTTTTGAAGGCAGCGTAGATGTAGATCCTTTGTTTAGAAAAATTAGGAGAAAACACCAGCACTGAGACTGTGCGCTAACTTATGAGTTAACACAGACTGCAAGGCATCGAGACAGCTGCCATCAGTTTTGGACATAGCCCAAAATTCTATTGGACAAGCCATGTGACGTCATATACTCGCCGGGTTAAACATTACTCTAGAACAACGTTACGCCTCCATACTGTTCAAAAAACTACATACAGAGCGTACTATATATACCATTTTATTTTTAATATACTGTGAGGCCTAATAAGATCTAACATTAGAGGTGTAATTACTTAAAAAATACGATTAAAATATAAACAAATATAAACAAGTATTAATTTAGAAACAGTAACTGTGTTAAAAAGGTTTAGAATCAGTTCAATTAGTTACTGTTATGAAAAAGAAAACTAACGTGGAGAAAATTCAAAAAGTCTTAAACTACATGAAAGTGTTTTAAATCAGAGATTTATGCCCTATAAAGGTATTACAGACCCCCAAAATATTTGCTACCATTGCTTGTGTAAATGTAACTGTAATACTTACTCTTGTGTTTGCCTGCTGTGAAGAGTTAGCTAGTTGAGTTAGTTTTTCTGCACACACCCTATTCACAACCTGCACTTAAAAACTTAAAGTATAGATGTAACCAACTGCAGCATCTCTTAATCACCCCACAAGAGCATGTGACATAGCCATTGACATGCAATTTTACATAGTGTGGATAATAATACCGTACCCTGAACAGAGGAAAGATCTTTTTAAAAAGATCACATGGAGGGACATTGATTCACTCCTTAATTAATGTGTACAGATTTTAAAACAAGTACATTTTTATTAACAAGAGCAAAATATATATAAAAAAACAACTTTATATTAGTGATTTGTTTGCCTGTGGCAGGAACAAATCCTCAGTTAAATTCTTTACGAAATGAGCATATTAAAATTACTTTCAAAATTTTTTCTTACTTTCCAGCTCCAACTTTCTAATTTTCAGTTATACTTTTTTAGATTTTTTTAAAGTCATGGGAACATCTGCTTCCTCTTGCTGGTCCTGGATGTTCCTGCATTATCAGAGGATAGTTAGTACTGCTGAACATTACAAGGTTTTGGGGAACATTGTTACAATCATACACTTCTCTGAATATTATAGCATTTATAAACTCTTCAGTATGTATCCCTGGAGGATCACTATAGTCAGGATATTTCTCACCTTTACAAGATTTTTTTTTTTTTTTTACAAAAAAGAGTCATCGCTGTACATGTCTATGTGGTGTTTCTGAAATGATGGGGCACTTCCATTTCTGATCCAGTTCTGCCACATATTGATTCGTATTCTGTACAAAACTATTATGTAGATATGTACACTTACCATTCTGGAGTACTCTTTATATTTCATATTTACCTGCTGCCATGTGTATTTTACACATGCTGCTTCTAACTCTATGATTTCAATGGAACGATGGATAAATGTTAAATTAATATTAAATATTGCAACTTTAAAATATTTAGTCTAATAATTTCTCCAGATCTGTGAGTTGAGAATAGCGTACCCAAGCCAGCAGAGAGTATTAGGACATACAGTGTATGGAGGTTTTTAATCTATAATCTTTTGTAGAGTTTTATATCACAAATCCAATTCCAAAAAACTTACAACAGTGATCTGCAAATCCCTTTCGACCTGTATTCAATTGTAAACATAACAAAGACAAGATAGTTAATGTTTCAATTAATTAACTTTATTATTTGGCATCTGAGGGATCAAAGGTCATGGGAATTCAATACTGTTTTTTAGCTTTGCCCCTTACACATCTTTTGATTCACCCCATAGGGGAGAAAAAACAAAAATATTTACAAATGCTTGTTGAGGAACATTATTCTTAAACTAATAAAGTGTTTTAGGCAAAGTGGTGAGCACCCATAAAGGACTCCTAGATGTCCTTTTATATAGTGGCATTATTGTGTCACCAATTTGAAATAATTTTGAAACATTTCACAATGTTTCTAGTCTTTTGCCCCTTCCCCACCTTTTTTTAGAATGTGTTGCAGGCCTCAGTAGTAGTAGTGAGGGGTATCATCTATTTCTCAAGGTCCTTTAGCAAAACTCTATCATAACACTGTAGAAAATGCCAGTGATTTAATATTTATCAACAATGTACATTTTAATTGCAAATGTGAGCAAATCTCTCATCTCCAAAATCATTCATCTGGAGAAAGCAGCTGATTTAGACAAGCAGTTTCAGAACAGCAGTTTTACACCATGCCATGGTCAGTCACATCACAGCATCTTGGAATGTAATATGTTAAACTGTGGGTATAAGTGTATAAAATATGTTACATCAACATAATAGCTGCTGAATGCAGGACCACTTTGCAATTTTTTGGCTAGCAAACTATTCTCAAGCCATCAGTGACGCTAGCCACGTTTACTATAAAGGTGCATAACTGCTGCACCTTTAAAGGTGCAGCAGTTACATTCTGGCACATTTAGGCAATTGTAAATAGAATACATCCATGTATACACCTCAGTCGGAATAGACTAGTCCAATGGAGGCAATTCAGAATACAATTTCTATCCGATTGAACAAGGTGGGTAATCCTGTATATAATCCGTTAAATATAGAAGAATAATAACCATGTAAACACCTGTAACTGATTACATTCCCAATAGGAAAGTTTAAGTACATTCTACGCATGTGCGTTCGCGCCATAGCGTAAGTTTATAACGTTCAACATGGCGGGAGCCAAAACTGGTCTGCAGAGGAAACAAAGTTTATGCTTTGCTGACTAGACCTCACGTCATGCTAGCTATCATGGTAACGTCTACACTAAGTCATTCTCTACGCATGCATGTCATTTTGGATCTGATTATTTGTAGGGTGAATGTAAACAGAGATTTTCCATCAGGATGTTGAGGAGAGTAAGCATATAAACACCTCAGTCTTAATCTGTAATCGGAATGTATTCAATCGGATTGGCAAAAATCTTTGCATGTAAACACAGCCAGTGACACAAAAAACTCCAGCAACACTGCTGTCACATTACTAATTACATTATAACATAAACTATTTGTGCTAAGAATGCTCCACCAACAAATAATATCCACTTGGTAGTGGTCCCTTTCTATTGATAGATAGGGTAAATAATGCCTATTTTGTGCAACAACAGATGGGCTATCAGTCAGTATCTGTAAATATGTACCTGATAAAATGCCCAAATTCCACAATGTTTGTCTACACAGGAAAATGCTGCCATATGTCTTTTAACAAACATCCAATAGGACCATTACAGTGGTTCTTTCCCAACCAGTATGTCTACTCAATAACTGAAAGGTGCTCTTTTAACAGTTTTTCAGTTCTATTTTCCGGAAGTATCCAGATTTGGCCTTTATAGATAGCCCAGGCTCTTTCCAAATGTTGTGTGTGGCTATATCTCAGTGGGTCAACAAAACATATTCTGTGGTTCACACTGAAATGCCTATACCCTGCATTATCAAGTGCCCCCATGTAAGCTCTCCACTGATCGCTGATAATTGTTGACCCTCTACCCACATGCCCTCTAATTACTGGGAGCAAGTGACGTCGTGATCTTTTTTCCACCAGTCTGAGAATGGGCCTTCTCCTGTCCTCTCTCACACTCAGTAATCCAAAAACCCACTTTCTTTTTTTCCAGGTGTATACATATGCACATACATATTAAACACTGTTTTTAAATAAAGTCGACATACCAGCTCAACCGTGTTAACGGGATCTCCTCGCAAACTCGGTGATCAGAAAGGATCCTGGTTTTAGGGTCACGGATCGGATCATATTTACCATATAAAGATAGACCAGTCACCGGTTATGCTGATAGGGCCGTTTGCTGTAGTGATGGACTGGCGGGATGAGTCTGATTCCTCACGAGGCTCATTCACACGGTCAACAGCAGCTGACCACATTTTCAATCCGAGCGCGCTGCAAGTCCAGACGTGGCGTGCGTGAAGGTCTGGAACTTTCTCGCACTGCCGCGTAGTACACGCGGGAAAACTAAAGCGGTTTTGACTTGTGTTAGAACAGAAGTTACAGATGTCAGTGTATCCCTTGATTAAACTGTGTAAAAGCCTACAGTAAATCTCTCTCTCTCTCTCTCTCTCTCTCTCTCTCTCTCTCTCTCTCTCTCTCAGCGCGCCTGGTTAAAAGTATCTGCTTAAATACACGCAAATAAACACAACGGCATTATCGAGGTCGTCCAAAATTATCGACATCATATTCATTTATCATACGATAAGTCGAAAACGTAATTATCGCGACAGGCCTATTTATAACTAGTGCTGATCTACTTGTGAACGCCTGATATTTAGCAGCATGGAAGTTAGTGTAAACATAACGTTACCAGTTCACCACATTGGTAGCTATCAAAAAAGATAAAGTGAGTTAACTTAAACAGTTATCACTGCCCTAAACTGTCTCATGAGAAAGACTGACACAAAAAGACTCCCACTCGTCTGACTTGAGCTTGATGTAATTGTTATAGCTATATCATATTCACTAACCTGACGTTCTCTGAATTATTTAAACAACTCTGCATGTCTGTCAGAAAGATGCTTTGCTAAGTTAAGTAGCAAAGTAAGGAGGTGCTGGCTCCTTTGGTCTGTACATGTTTACAGCATCTTTTGCAGACCGGTTTTGATGTGTCCACGGGGTTGCCCTGACTGTCAGATGTGTATGCAAAATAATTCCATAT